TTTTAATGGACCTGGAGCTGGAGCCCACCCTAGCCCAAGGGTGGCTCCGCCCCTGGTTACGATCGTCTTTGCCACGAATTAAATTATTTAATAGTTTGTTAAGTAAATGTGACTGAGTATTATTTTTGTGACTTAAAAATCTTTATTTTTATATTATAACAAAATTTACTTTTGACATACGATCATACCTTTTATGATAATTTTTTGTGTGACGAATAATATTTTTTACTGAAGTTTTTAACTAGCATATCGAGGTTTTTATAGGTCAAGAACTCATTAGGTCATTCATTACTCATGTACATTATATCGATATGAATGAACAATAATGTTGTACTCAAATTATGTTGATTTGGATTAGGGCTACTAAACATCGATGATGTGGATATATACCCGGAGTACAGCGCCAATGCAAGGAATACATCATGTCGAACAGAGACGCCGACCTCCAAGCAAATCTTTCATTTGTGTTGATCTCTTTACGCGCCACACTTTTAGTTTATAAATGAACCATACATATTTTTGCATCTAGTGTTCGACATTTTTAGTTTTACTATAATTCAAGGATGGATAGCCAATGGATGTTATGGGTCTATCAGACCTTGATTAAACTATCACGCCTACGAATTTAACTTTGTAGCTAAAAAGACCAAAATAGCCTTTTGAGGGTCGAGGGGTACGTCAAATATTAAATGTTAGGACACTGGTTCATTTTGATTTGTGTGGATCCATGTTTTTTCGGATAAAAAGTAGTTTCGAATACTCTTATCCTTTTTTTTTTCAGGAAATTTATTCGAGATATGGTACATTAAATGACGTTCTATATGTTTGGGTACTTCAATTGAGCACAAGGACACTTGTGGGGAGACGTCGAGGTTAATGTATCAGTGCACTGCGATTGTTAATTACTCATCGACTAATATATTTTGAAAAAAATGGGATTACTAACTAGATGCTGTAGTTATTAATCTTGTGTGACTAAAGTGTGTACGAGTGTAATCATATTTGTATGCATCATTCTATAGCCTCGAACATGTCGAGAATTTTTTTGTTGCAAATGCTTGTAGGGGTTTTAATCGCTTGGTGAGGCAAATTATAGATTTGTTGCTTTACTAAAGCGAGCATGTAGATCCCTTTGTTGGTCTAGCATCAATTGTGCAACATTTGAATATTGTTGATCGTGTTAACTGCGAACAAACGACAACCTCGACGATTGATCAGCCTGCGACCCGATGACACCTCATCAGATGCAGTCGCGCATGGTCGCGCGAGGGCTGCGGACATCTTTTTGTCGCGGTGGCCCAGTCGCAGACGGCCGAGCGCCGGTAGAGGTACGATGCAAATGGTGCTAGGACGCGGTGTGGTCAACGACCATCAGCGACAGACAGAGAGATCGACATACGTGTGCTACGCGTGGCAGACCCAAGGATCACGGGTGCGTCGAGCCCAAGTCTCATCGAGCTCACAACGGCCATCCCCGATCGAGTGCAGACTCAGTGGGAGACACCAACATCGAAGGGAGACGTGCAGTGCGGCCAACCAACCCAATTTTTGCGCAGTGCCCTGCATACACGCTCGACCCCGATGACTCATTGTCTTCCCAGTGTGCGTATTTCGTGGGGTGCGATGTAATGCCTCGACGAGACGACGACGCTGCAGCACGCCCAAACGGCTCCCACGATGTGGCTAGGGCCTTTTGGAAGGCGCAGTGGCGCAATGGTCGGGCGGCACACATCTCGACGATGAAATTGTCAGCAACGACTAAATTTCATCGATCGTCACAACGACTGGAATTGGACTCGGTGGCGACCCAGCTAGACTCAACGACTGGAATTAGTTATTTAAACTAATTGATAAACAACATATAAATCTCTATTTTATTTATATTGATTTTTTTATATAAAGTAATTTTAAATGTAACAAAATTTATTTAGAAAATAGTATCGATCCTACCAGTCCAACCGACTGGTGTTGACGAATGCAATTATTGTATTCAAGCGAACTAGACTGGTTATAAATCGGTTTTTGCTCCATCCGGTCGGACTGTGTCCAACCCGGTTTAATTTAAAAACAATGGATAAATTATAATTAATGTTATTTATATATTTAAATTTTAATACAATCGTAACATTATTTTCTCGTGCATCGCACGGGCCACACACTAGTTGAAACTGACACAGATGTTTCATATAAAATTTAAAGTGATTCATATAAATGCATACTTTGGCGAAAATATTTAATGATTAAGTCATCATATCAATACTCTGATCGACCAAGTCAAGGTTGGGTTGATCAACTTGAACCGGGTCCTTAGCGACCTGATCCGAACAACCCTCTCGAACTGGTCTCAGATCCAGATCCAAGTCGACCGAGCTAGTGTGAGTACATAATATTGTACATATTGGTTTACATAACACTCAAATGGACTCACGAAAAACAAAAATCAGTGGACCTCATTTATGTAAATGTTATATACATTTTATGTACATTTATCATGTAATTACATTTTCCTTGCTTAAAAACACATTCATCCATAGCCGAGCCCCTATCCCTAGTTCCCCAATTTCATCCTTTACATACACATCGAGGAGAAATCCTTTCCCCTAATTCAGTTGCAAAACCTGCGTTTTATCGCCTTTGTTGTGAGTATAAATGGCGGTGAGGAATGCACTGCTGACGTATCTCAGAGTGAACGTGAGCCCTCTGCCTCTGTTTCAAAACCCTAGAGCCGGCGTCGGCGGTATGCCGCAGCTCATCAGGCGCCATTTCTCGGACGAGGCGAAGGGCTCTTTCCTCGATAAGTCTGAGGTCACCGATCGTGTACTTTCCGTTGTTAAGAACTTTCAGAAAGTCGATCCTTCGAAGGTAATCCATTTATTTTTCTGGCTCTCTCTCTCCCTCTCTATGTGTGTGTGTGTGTGTGCACTCAGACATTGTTGCTTCTTGTTCTTTCGTATTACTTGTAGTGGTGTTGTGGTTTGTAGGTTTTTTTAATCGCAAAGTGAATTGGAGTGATTTTTTGGTTTTTGGTTTATGTTCAACAATTAATTGTGGAAATTCATAGATGCAGCTGAAATGGTACTATACTAATCTGAGTATTATTATAAGAGCAAGAAACCCTAACTTTATTAAAGGGTTGTTTCAATAGACAAACTATTTTGTTTGTTATTATTCACTCTCTAGTTGAGTTATCTGGTTCCCTTTATGACAGCTAATGCTGATGTCTGTGGTTATAATGTTTAGCTTCAAGTGTCGGAAACGTTTTCCAGTTGAAGTAGAAAACTTAATAAGTTGCCTCAGAGGCAGTCATTTCCCTCTTAATTTTGACTGCTACTCTATAAAGATGGTTTATACTTGTTGTCTTCAGCATTTTATGTTGGCTGTTAGCATGGATTGATACAAAATATGAAACCATTTTTTCATTATATTCTTTCTTTCGAGTAGCCTGATTGTTTTATTTGCTGGTTTGTAATTGATGGCTACTCTTTTGGGTTTTTAAGCTCTGTTGCAGGTTGAATGACCTATGCTAGATTTCATGCATTTATGTCCTTTTTAAGGATTCATTCGTTGAGTGGTACCAAGCAATTGGTCTAAGTTTTTTCATTAATGCGGAAATTGTACGATTGTCATTTGTGATGGCTTTTTGCTTATTAAGTTAAGAAGATAAGGATTATTCATAATATAGGGACATTAGGTTTAGTTGTCTTGAATTCTAACTACATAATGTATTGCAACAACACATTCTTACTGCATTGTGGAATTCGTATACATCGATTGAGTGGTTCTTTATAGATAGGTTTGGCGTTTGCTTGGGGTATATCATATATCCTTTGTTATTTTTTACACCTCCCTTTTAAGGATGATTAAAGTATTTATTTTCAATGCATACTTCATGTTAATCGGTGGTGAGAACATGAAGTATTGTGGGGACTTGTTTCTTTTTGGTTTCATTGCTTATCCACTTTCCAAGATTTTATTTTTGTGGTAAGCTTAAGCTCTGACCTCAGATATGTTGGTACAACACAACCTTCGTAGTTTTGATTTGTAATTCAATTATGATAAAGTGGACACAAAACTAATTTTTCCTTGTGGAAGTGTTGTTCTTTAATGAATCTTTCTCAATAGAATGTCGCGTGAGCCAACTTGCCTCCACTGTTGCCATTGTTTGCATTGGGTTAGTGTCCTCTTGACACAAAAAATTGTAGCACTTGTGATAACCTAACCACAAAACTTGCCATTGGAATTCGTTTTAGTGGCATTATATAGGATTTGATATGATTCCTATCTATTCCTATTTGGTATGATTTCACATTTAGTATATAACCTTTCATTTTCACTGGAGTTGTCTCGAATTTGTAGGGATGTCTTGTTCCTCACACGTATTTAACTGCTAACTTCATCTGATAATGTATTGGGCTTTTTTAGGTTACCCCGAATGCGCATTTCCAGAATGATCTTGGACTGGATAGTTTGGACTCTGTTGAAATTGTGATGGCCCTTGAAGAAGAATTCGGCTTTGAGATTCCGGACAATGAAGCAGACAAAATTAACTCAATCAATCTTGCCGTTGACTTCATTGCGTCTCACCCCCAGGCAAAATAGTGGAAAAATATGATGCTCGCCTTTTGATTTTCCTTCCTCCATTCCAGCTATTTATGCATGACCAGTTTTTCATGTCTTGGTTTCTCTATTTTGGGAAATGAACCATTTTCATTCTGAAATGTGGTTAACTTTGCGTAATAAAAATATTTTCTGACGAGTCCTCGTTCTTTCTTTTATTTTTTCTTTTATTTTCCTTTGGCGAGCAGCAGTCCTATTGTGTATGATTTGATGGTGATGAGGATCTTATTGCAAGATGATGTTTGAATCGTAACATGCACTTCGTTGGGAATTTGTGCTTGCATATTATTATAATTCTGTATGATGAAACCGTGTTTGAGATTTTTCATTTTGTTGATTGAAACTAGTCCTTGCATTATTATATATATATTTTTTTATTTTCCACAATGCTTTATGTCTAATTTTGCTTACATGCTATGTAGATAGAATTAGGGCTGGTATTTTTTGACCGAACCGAACCGACTCATGTGTATCGGTAACCGAAGTTCGGTAACTGATAAGTTATCGGTTCGGTATCGGTTTCCGAATCCATTAGGGTTCGGCAAAACCGAACCGAACCCATAAGCTAATAAAAAAAAACCTAAATTTAAATATATTTATATATAAAAATAAAATGAGAAACCTATCTCAGATCTCATTGTTATTCCCTAAGGCCTTATATTTGGCCCAAATATTGGTATTATTTGGCCCATCTGTGCAAGTATTTGCATTCCCAATATCTTTTTCTGAATAACCCTTTCTTCTTCAATCTAAATCTCGCCAAATTTGCCGTTGACATCAATAAGATCAAGCCTTCCTTCTCCTATCGGTAATCGCTCAAGACTAACTCTTACAATCATTTTCCTCAGCCGTCGAGCCTTCATCGATATATCGCCGGCGATCTACCTCAGCCGTGAACGTTGCCGGAGAAGAGAACCCCGTAACCTCTGTTCGCACGTCTTAACAGGTCCAGAAACGCCACCAGCTTCTTCAGTCGTCGGTGGCAGAGAAGTGTCGGAAGTCCCCAATTTTTGTCGCGCTGTGAAGAGCAGCGGGTTCCAACTTTTCGTTCGATTTCCCAGTCAGCCCTCGCCGGCGAACTTGAGAGTGGCCGTCCGTTCACCCCACAACAAGCTCCGTCAATTTTTTCTCAGTCGGTGACTTCGTTAGGTTTTTTGTTTTGGGGATAGCAGGTTTTTTGTTTTGGGCTTTTGTAGGGATGAAAACGGTCGGGAACGGTCGGAAAAATCCTAAAACCATTCCCTTTTCTGTATGTTTTTACCGGGAACGGGATCAGAAACGGTTGAGCCGGACGGGAAAACGAAATCGATATTACGGGATATCGGGAAAGAAAGAGTTCGATCGGGAACTAGCCGATTACGTTCGGGAATCGGAAATACTATACGGTATAATACGTGTAACATACAACTTCAAACATTAAGCACGAAAAGATAATAATAATAATTTGTGTCATAATCGTAAGTCATATCCTTTACGGCTAAAGAATTTGTGAGACATATATCATCTGTAAGCATTTCAGAGTACTTGAGTACAATGAACAGGTTAGTTTGGTTCATGGCAGTTGGTCACCTGTGAACTCATCAAAACTATCAATTTGTCTCATGTTTGCTCGAATCCCATTACCAAATCCAGCAATTGAAACTACATAGCCATGTTAACAGTATACTT